TTGTTGTTGTTGAATTCCATTTTTCCTGGAAGAGTCCTTAAATTTCTGTGCAAGTCCTTGAATTGTCCTTGAAATTGTTCTTAACTTTGAATGTATTGGCTTGGAAAGTGTTTTTTTAATGCTTTTTGGTTGTCCAAGACAGAACATATATCATAGCTCAGCAAAGTTAAAGGTGATTTACATAAAGTGTTTTTTGTTTTATACAGTAATTAACTATCAATTTTATTTTAAGACAAGACTGAACTGAAAAATTTAGAACAGTTGGTGGAGCAAACAGTTCAAGCCTTAACGTCCTGTTGAGTGGACTGGAAATGTGCATTTTTGTACAATCTGTGAAATTAACTTCCTTGTAGGTGGTGCTTGGAAAGTCCTTAATTAAAAAATGGTTGCAGTGTAAAATAACAATTTTTGATACATAGAAACAACCTGATATGTTAATTTCTAAGTTATCCTTCCTTCCTTTTTTCCAGCCCTTCCTGATGCAAGTGTGGATGTAGTAATTGCTGCTCAAAGTTTCCACTGGTTTACAAACCGTGCTGCTCTAGAAGAATTCCATCGTGTTCTGGCCCCAAGGGGCTCATTTGGCATGGTTTGGATCATACTTGACGACATGGCCGCCGTATGGTTGAAAGAGATACAAAAATTTCTTGGTATTTTGGATGAGAAGTATGCTCTCTTTTTTCCTTTCATGCAAGGGTGGAGAAAAGTGTTCACTGATCTCTCACAAGGCTTATTTAGCAACCCAGAAGAATGTATAGACTTTAAGTATTCTAGAACAAGTTCTTTTGATCATGCCTTCAAGATGTTGTCATCATATTCCCCGGTAGCAGGTGGGAGTGAAAAAGATAAGAAAGATTTCCATGATCTGTTTAATGATGTAACTAAAAGGCATTTTAAAGATAAGGGAATTCCTTTAGAAACTATTCCATTTAAATTTTACATGTACTGGTGTAGTAAGAAAAATTAATCCTTTTTGTTTTCTGGGTTTGATAACACATTCACGCCCAATTTCCCCTGCCTTCTTGTGTGGATTCAAGTCAAGTCAAGTCAGGTTTTATTTCACTTTACAATGGAAATACAGAGGTTAATAAAAAATAATGGGACTACAGGCATAAAGATAACAGAAACTAAAAGACATATAATGAAGGGAGTTGGAGCAATTAAGAGTTTTCAAAGATAACTCCCAAAAATGAAATCTGAAATTATGATTTAGAATTATATTAATAATAAATAAAAAATTTATTATTATAGTTATTTAAGGAATAGACCACACTTTCTATGGGTTTACCGGCGTGATGACCCAAGCGGGATGTTAGGAGAAGACAAGAAAAGCTTGTAAATCACTCTCCTTTGGCTCGTGATTTACAAGCTTTTCAAGTTCTTCCAACATCCCAAGTGGGTTATGACGCCGTTAAACCCATGGAAAGTGTGGTCTATTGTTTTTATGAAGAAACTTTTAAGTTTTCTATCAGTTAACCGGCACAATAAACCATAGGTTTTTAACCAGTTGGAATGCACGTACTATCGTAGTTATTATTAACCCCGGGTTTTGGGGGGGGGGGCACTGCCATATATGGGCTATATAGGTATGTGCCACTGTGAAGGGTATGGTTTTCAAGCACTTTACTCTAGGATAGGGTATATAAATCACAGCATTTGGGTCTAGACTAGGGTATTATTTTTTAGGAAACTGATCAGTTGGTTGAAGATTTTATCTAGACTAGGGATTGCGGTATAAGGTTTTGTTTTGGGTAGACCGTGCTAGTGACCTCAGAAGTTTCTGGAAAACAGCTACTCAAGGATAGGGGTGATTGGGGGACTTTACTGTAGTATAGGGTAGCAAAATTCAGCTGAAGTAGTTCTGGTATAGGTTAAATGGGTTCCAGGGTCCTGGTGGCACATCCCCACCCAGAAATTCCTAAAGTACCCCTCCCCCGTTATTAAAGTGTACCGTATGACACGAAATTTTTGGAGGAGTTTATTTTTGCGGATTGGCGATTTTTTGTGTTTTGCGCCCGGGAACTTATTTTTGGGATAAGGAGGGACTGGTTTTTCTCGCTAGGAATAAATTTTTGCGACTTTCAGAGGGTACCCAGTACCCGGCCAGCATTGATGATATTTTCGTTTCTATTGAGTACGTGCAACAGAAATACATATTTTCAAACAATACTACGGTGTGCGTACCCTATGTAAAACCATTACCACAAAACTCCGAAAATAAGCCCAGGGGCTTATATTTTTCAAGAGCCCTTTTTGAGGGGCTTATTTTCGGACGGAGGGCTAATATCTACGGAGGGAAATTTACGTTTCAAAATCGATTGGGCAAGCCTTAAAGTTAGAGGTAAATTTACCATTTTTGCTTTGTTTTACTTTGTATTTGAGGGCAATTTCCAAGCACAAACCCCCCGGGGGCTTATATTTGGATGGGCGATTTTACGGAGGTTTTTTTTCGTCACCAGTTTGAGGGGCTTATATTTGCGGGGGGCGGGGGGGCTTATTTTCGGAATTTTACGGTATTTCATTGTACACCTGTATACCAAGACAAGACAAGACAAGACAAGACATTTATTATCATAATATTACAAGTACAATTTTTTGGCACGCAGTTAGCAAAAAAACGCTAGTCGAGGCGTGCCAAATTAATTCTCAGTACAAACAGAAACTCATAAGGGGTTTCTTATTACAAATCAGATACACTGTATTACCTATAATAAGTAAAAAGCAAAGAAAAAGAAAAGAAGAAATATGTGTAATGAATTCAAAAGCAAGAAAGACAAATCTGTTTAATGCAACCCGGGAAAGAGGCTAAGTTTTTAGGATTTCGCGATTTTATTTCTCGTGTTATCATGGTTGTTTCTGAAAGAAAGAAACAAGTTGCAATTGAACAGACACTCATTTCTTAGTACTGTATTTTTTGTAGCGAATGTAAGTTAGAGAATATTTACTCTGTAGTAAATTTTGGGGGGAAAATGTGGGACAAATGTTTGCCGTAATTTTTATTTGCGGAATTATTTTTGCGGATCGCTGGAGAAATCGCAAATAATTTATAGAACCCGCAAAAATTTCGTGTCACACAGTATCTGAGGTATTGGGGTAAGAAACAAGCAATACACTAAGAGTGGTAGATCAGTAAGACGCGCAACATCGTTATAATATTCAACTCGTTTTGCAGAAATGTTGCAAAACAAGTTGCGCCTTTGTTGACCTTTGTTATTAAACCGCGTTATCTGGTTCGGCGAAAGAGACTGGTGAAGGCATACTTTCTTCACAAGTTTGTTCATATAAGCTGAACTGAATTGACTTGAAATCGAATGTCTTTATCTCTCTATTCACTGTCGGCGGGAAACGTTCAAAATAACCTTACAAAATGACTGATAATGGTGAGAGTGAAGTTGTGGCTAAAATGGCACAGAAAGCCTTTGCTTCATCTTCTAACTACGAGAATGTTCGTGCCAATTATTCTTTCGAGGCAGTAGAGTTTTTTTTGCGCAAACTTGGCGTGAACTGGGACAACCATGACAAAGCCGCAGAGAACCAAACAGATCGCCCTTTTATTATCTTGGAGGTCGGTTGTGGCACGGGAAAATTTACTCGCGTCATGTTAGAAGTGTTGAAAGACAAGAACGTGAGAGTGATTGCAAGTGAGCCACTGCAAAGCATGTGTGAGCAGTTAAAACTTATGGTGCCTGATACGGAAATTATCCAATGCCCCGCTGAGAATATACGTAAGCTGCTTGAAACTCTGTGTTTTTTTAATTGTTCATTTAGTACTTCACCAATACAATACCTTAGATGTCATCATTTGATCTCTTTCGAATTGCCTGCCACCTTCTTCAATTTTTTGATACTAAAGCCCTTGCAAGGCTATCGCTATTATGTGTATTATTATTAGGCTTAAGAATTTCTTTTTGTTCTATTTCTTTTTTGTTTCCAATAAAAAGAGCCGTGCTTATAGTAGGCGGAGATCCCAGCCCTGCCGGGAAGGAAACAGAGAACTGACATCATGTATGAAAGACACTTTGTTACCTGATGCATGTGGGACCGTCAAAAGCGGAGGAGAAGTGAATGAAAAGGAGGGGGGAATGGAGAGAGAAAATGGGCCTTTCCCTTTTGTGCTTTTCTCTAATTCGCCATTTGCACACTCCCATTATAAACCTTGTTTGCCCCCCAAGATTTTGCATAAGCAGTGTCTTTTATTTCTCTTGGGACGACTGTAATACCCACCCTAAAGTACAAGAACCTATTTTGCCAGACTGCAATTAAAACATGTAAGTATATTACTGTTGATTACCTTCACCTTCCCTTCTCCATCTCTCTCTCTCTCTTTCTCTCTTTGTGGTCCTTATTTAAGCAAGCTATTCGGGTGTGCTCTGACAGCGGGGGCAGGAAAAGGAAAGAGTCTTGCAACTACAGGTGTACGTCTCTGGAATTTGAATATCTGCATCAAAAAAGTTGATTCAAAATGCTGATTGGTGGAGATGACATTAAGAATGGCGTCACTACCCTTGGCGCTTGCTTTTACATGTTTTTCAATGTTTTTTTACATTTGCACTTCTTTCCACTTCGTGCTGATTGGTGGAAATCTGACAGCTCAGTCGACGGGGAGCCATAGGGGAATTGGACGCAGAATTCAAATTCCAGAGATGTAGTTGCAAGCTCACCTCTCCTTTTCCTGCCCCACCGCTAGAGTGCCCCAGAGAGCTTGATTGCAGGCTAACCAATCAATGTGGGCCTTTACAAGTTAAGAGCGAATGCACAGAAAAATCGAGCAAACCGTGGCCACAGCTCAAAACCTAACCTACCCTCATTTTAAGTCTGTAATAAGGTTTTAATGAATTTATAACACTGCTGGGGTTTAAATTTCAAAATGCGGCCGAATTTGGGAATTATTTGAGATTTTCGATTTCAACGGTCTGCGGGCCTAAAATTAGCCGCCGAACACGGCAATATAGCCTAGCGACAGAAATGAGCTGACTTTCATAAACGAGCGAATATATTGGCAATCTTTCACTTAAATCTCAAAAAACAGATATTAACAATTTCTAAACAGCACATTTTTTTAGATTTAGAGAATAAAATATCGACGAACGAGCACAAATTTGAAACGTAATTTGCATAATGCTTATAAATACAACAATTTACCGCTAAAACCAAAATCGAATTTTCTATATGGGGGAATTCTCCAAATCACCCCAAATCCCGCTTACTACCTAACGAGATATGGTACTTCAACACTATCTGAAAGTTAGTCTGGTGTTCTTGCGAACGCTTGTAAAATAGACTGATTATTTTGAGGTTATTTTGCCCCAAACAACCGCTAATTGACCCCAGGGTCAATTCATACGTGCACGTCACCTTAGTTTTATGCGTCGATTAAGGGAGAAACTAACAAGATTCTTTTAATATGTACCTGTTTTAATGAAATACACGCAATCTTCAAAAGGAGAGGCCGTTCAATGGATAATTTCTGTTCTTGAGATCTTGTAGATTGTACTATGGCGTCTGCGACTGGACCTGAGTCTAGGTCTGTTTTCCCGTGACTGCGAAATCAGAATAACATCATGAAATAATTCTCGCTCGAACCTTCGTAAGTGAATCAGCTTTGCAGTGCCTTACCTGAGATAAAAAGTGGGCCGAATAGGAAAACATTCTAGCGCAATTTGGATCCTTTGCAGCACGTAGTGTATTTGCTAAGCGGCGATGGTATCAATGACTTTTTTAAAATTAGTTACTCACCTCCGATTGCGTGACCAGGCAATTATCGATTGTCTCCTGCGAAAAATAAGTGCAGGGGAAACCAAAGCTTTCGGGATACAGTAAATTCATTTTCCTGTATGACCAGGTGTCCTTTTGTCCTATTTTAAAAGCGGTTAACTAAGATGATTAGCAAACATACTGTCCCACTTTTAAAAATGGTACAGAAGCTGAATGTTCTGTTCTTCTGATTTTACCTCCAACCCCGGAGTGTTCAGAAGATATATTTGCACTACGCATGAAAGGGAAATGGATCAAATTTTAAGGTTCAAGGCGGTTTTAAGGCATGGGTTACCAGTGGATTAGTCAGACTTGTCATAAGGTGCATTGAACAGAAAATTACAGGCATGATATCTCTGCTATGGTATGTCCATTAAGTGATTTTCCAGCAAACATTATTTTTTGACTTTTTTACCCCAAAGGTTTTTTCCGTTCAATTCTTATCTATGAGATCTAAACTTAGTTAAATTTCTGTAATTTGTTGTTAAATGCAATTCTGCAAACAACTAAGTATTTAATTTTCCTTAAAAGCTACATGAAATTGTACTGTTTAGCCGTAAATCATTAAAAAGAGAAAGCATCATGCTTTCTCTTTTCAAGTCTAGTAGGACTTAAGCAATGACATTGCTTAAGTCCTAGTAGTTGTTCTCCATGTCTGCTAAGGAGGAAATAGTTTGCTCTTTTCAAGAAATTGTTCTTGCCCATGGCGGTTTCAAACCAAGGATAGCAGCAAGTCTGTCGTGGTCATATACTGCTACTTCAGGGCAAACGAAGCATAGGCGCACAAATCAGCGCTTGCGTTTAGTCAGGTGCCGAAAATGAAGTGGAAACTTAACCCCAAGGGCGTCCGTGTTCGCTCCGGCTCCAAAAGGTAGAATCAGTTGTACAGTAAAAAGTAAAGCGAAAAACCTGCGGGGGCTGGGGAAAGAAAGGCGTCTTATTTTTCTTTGGCTTGTTCTATTTTCGCGACGTGGTACAGGCTACGAAATACTGACAAGCTCAGTATATGTCTTCACCACCGAGAGTCACTTGCCCTTAGCCGGACACTCCCCTCACGTATCATGTTTCGTTCCTAAAGTTATTTCAAACCATAGAACCAAACCTAATCAGCGGCCGAAGGCAGAAAGGGGGATGAGCAAACGGATGTCACAGCATATTTTGCAAGAAACTGGTATCCTTGTGCCTATCGGCTCAGGAACGATTGAATACTACTAGAATTAATATCAGGGTCAGAATTTGAGTGCTACAATGGGAGGAAGGGAAGAAAAGGAAACCGCCGCGCACACCTGTTAAGTCTTTTATAAACTTCTCGTCCTGACGGTTTCAAAGAAGGGCGTTGTGGCTGCTATTTAATTTACAGTGTCTGTTGCAGGTGTCGAATTAATCTTACAGCAACTGGTAACGTGGCCACGCCTGCTGAAACTGAGATTGCTTGTAGGATGAACGGCTATAGTTTGGTATATTCACGAGCGCGTTTTGTCCAGTGAACTGAGTGCGTTGTTTTTCTTAACAAAGGGATGGGGTGGGTAAAGTGAACAGTTCGGGGAACGTATGCTCTCTTTAGCGGGGGTATATTTGTTGATATCAGGAGTTCTGGCCTGGATAGAGTCGTTATAAAGCTATTTTTGCTTCGGAGTATCGGTTTACCTGAAGCTGAGCAAGGAAAAGTCAATGGTGCATTTATGGAATAATAATAGCGATTCTCATGGTCTAACAGTGCGAAGATTAGACTTCTGGTAAGGTGGCAACGATCAAGGCCCGCATTATAATTCATGATAATTGAAGGTCATGATGTGGAAAAAGCGACTGAAATGGTGGATGCCATGCAACCCTCTCGGGTGGGGGCGGCGTACCTGGCCTTAACGGTTGCCCTTGCGACAGAAGGCAAGCATGCCCAGATTGTCCACGGGTTGCTAAATGAGACCGTCCCTTTCTTAGTACCCGTTCCCTGTCTTATAATTAGACCCGGGCAAATTTCTGGAGATTGCACCATCGTTTTGGGCTTAAAGCTTCCAAAGTCCAACAATAATAGCGCATGTTCACGACGGTTTTTTAAGTCAGTGAAGTTCTTAAACCAGGCCTTAAACGGCCAGTTTTAAGTGTCGATAACAGTTAAAAAGGCATACAAGCCTCATGCAAAAGACAGTGGGAAGGAAGTGCACATCGGTGATGGGGAAAAAGGAGTAGCCCACAGTTATTTAGGGGTGGATATTTCGAAACATTCTTACACTCTTGGACAGATGTGCATTGTTTAAAGTTCTAGACAAACCAGGTGTAAATTTATAGTAACAAACTGTTAAATATACATCAGCAAGATTTTGAGAATCCTATTTTTCGCTGGAGACTATCGTTTACTTGCTGGTCACGCAATCAAAGGTAACGTACTTTCCCACGTTTGTTTACTCACCTTTCGCTCAGCAATACACTGCGTTCCACAAAGGATCCTAATTGCGCTAGAAATGTTTTGCTATTCGGCCCACTTTTTATCTCAGGTAAGGCACTGCAAAGCTGATTCACTTACGAAGATTCGAGGGCGAATTATTTCTTGATTTTATTCTGATTTCGCAGTCACGGGAAGACAGACCTAGACTCAGGTCCACTTGCAGACGCCATGCTGCAATCTACAAGATCTCAAGAACAGAAATTACCCATTGAACGGCCTCTCCTTTTGAAGATTGCGTGTATTTCATTAAAACAGGTACATATTAAAAGAATCTTGTTAGTTTCTCCCTTTTAACGAGCTCAAATCGACGCATAAAACTAAGGTGACCTGCACGTATCAATTGACCCTGGGGTCAATTAGCGGTTGTTTGGGGCGAAATAACCTCAAAATAATCAGTCTATTTTACAAGCGTTCGCGAGAACACCAGACTAACTTTCAGATAATGTTGAAGTACTATATCTCATTAGGTAGTAAGCGGGATTTGGGGTGATTTGGAGAATTCCCCCATATAGAAAATTCGATTTTGGTTTTAGCGGTAAATTGTTGTATTTATAAGCATTATGCAAATTACGTTTCAAAATTCTGCTGGTTCGTCGATATTTTATACTCTAAATCTAAAAAATGTGCCGTTCAGAAATTGTTTGATATCTGCTTTTTGAGATTTAAGTGGAAGATTGCCAATATATTCGCTCGTTTATGAAAGTCAGCTCAATCCTGCCACTGGGCTATTTTCCCGAGTTCGGCGGCTAATTTTAGGCCTCCTGACCGTTGAAATCGAAAATCTCAAATAATTCTCAAACTCGGCCGCGGTTTGAAATTTAAACCTCAGCAGTGTTATAAACTCATTAAAACCTTATTACAGACTGAAAATGAGGGTAAGTTAGGTTTTGAGCTGTGGCCACGATTTGCCGATTTTGCTCGATTTTTCTGTGCATTCGCTCTTAATACAGGGTTTGCACAGTTTTTTTTTTTTTTGTAGAAAAGTCCTCAAATGTCTGTGCCAGTCCTCGAAAAGTCGTTAAGAAAGTTCTTAACTTTGAATGTATTGGCTTGAAAAGTGTGTTTTAAAGCTTTTTGGTTTTCCAAGAGCGAATATAAATCATAGCTAAGTGAAGTTATAGCGGATTTAAATAAAATATTTTTTGTTTTATGCAGTAAGTAACTATCAATGATGTTTAAGATAAGTGAACTGAAAAATTTATAGCAGTTGGTAAAGGAAACAGTTCAAGCCTTAAAGTCCTGTTAGATTGAACTGGGAAAATTATGTGCATTTTTTTACAGTTATCTGTGAAAATATGTTCCTGGTAGGTGGTCCTTGGAAAGTCCTTAAAAAATGGTTGCATTTTTTTGCATGAACCCTGTAAGTCATCTTTTACTAAGATGATAATGTTTGATGGTGAGCAACAAGCTTATATGTTGATTTCTATTAAAAGTTATAGTTCTTCCCGGTTTTTTTAGCCCTTCCTGATGCAAGTGTTGATGTAGTGATTGCTGCTCAAAGTTTCCACTGGTTTACAAACCGAGCTGCACTCAAAGAATTCCACCGTGTTCTGACCCCAAGAGGCTCATTTGGCATGGTTTGGGTCTTACTTGACGACACGGCCGCCATATGGTTGAAAGAGATAAAAAATTTTCTTCGTATTTTAGATGAGAACTATAATCTGGTTTTTCCTTTCATGCAAGAGTGGAGAAAAGTGTTCAGTGATCTCTCACAAGGCTTATTTAGCTACCCAGAGGAATGTATAGACTTCAAATATTCTAGAACAAGTTCTTTTGACCATGCCTTCAAGATGTTGTCATCGTATTCCCCGGTAGCAGGTGGGAGTGAAAAAGATAAGAAAGATTTCCATGATCTGTTCAATGATGTAACTAAAAGGCATTTTAAAGATCAGGGAATTCCTTTAGAAACTATTCCATTTAAGTTTTACATGTACTGGTGTACTAAGAAAAATTAATCTTTTTTGTTTCCGGGGTTTGATTAACACTTTCACATCCCTCCCCCTGCCCCTGTGGATTCAATCAAGTCAAGTCAGGTTTTATTTCACTTTAGAATGGAAATACAGAGGTTAATAAAAAATAATGGGTATAAACATTACAATTAGACAGGCATATAGATAACAGAAACTAAAAGATATATAAGTGAAGGGAGTTGGATTAACTAAGAGTTTTCAAAGTCAACTCCCAGAAATGAAATCTAAAATTATATTTACTATGATATAATATTATATTAATTATTTTAAGTTATATATCTTAGGTAGTGGGGTATGAAACAAGCAATACAGTAAGAGAGGTAGATCAAAGATAGTTTGACAGTTGTACTAGTCTTAACAGTCTCAATATCCTTGTACTGCTTGTGACGTCACCAGTTTTAAAAGGTCATAGACAACTTTGAATCTTAACTTGAACAGGGTGAAGAGATCTTTCAAACCATTTTCGAATGAACACGATTCAGTCAAACAGGTCAGGTGGCAAAACACCATCATTATGTGAAGAAGACCTGATTAAAATCACTATTAGCTCAGTCGGTGGAGCGCTTGACTGCAGAGAGCGAGAGAATGGCGTTTTCTCCCCTTGTCCCCCTCTAGTCTCCCCTCGTTTTCTTTTTCTTCGTGAATTTTTCTCCCGCGCTCTACTATCTGAACTCCTGGAACAGGCTACTAGTAGAAGACGGAAGAAATAGTGTTCCAGTTAGTACTTTCGTACTAAATCCATTGACACTCAAATGAAGTGTATTTCTTTCTTTCTGCCTTTCTTTCCACTATATACCCCCCCACCCCTCACTTCCTTCAAAGTTCCCCTTAATCCCTGAAATTCCTCACTGTTTTCCCCAAAAAAGTCAAAGAGACGGGAAGGAGAAAAAGCGAAAAGGAAACAGGGGCGGCTCCAGATAATTTAGAAAGGGGTGGCCGGGACACTTGGCAGCTGTGGACAGTACCATTTGTTGTACTGATAATTCTTAGAAATGATACAAAATTTCACCACGGTTTGCCCGGCCAACCCCTAAATCCCTAAATCCGCCCATGGTAAAATACACGAGATAACCCCGTAACTCGAAAATTTGAAATTCTGCGCCTCGACTATTAGAGCATATCCTGCGAGCAGAGGCTACATTTTTGCGGTATCATAGTTAAAGCTCGCAAGCAAGCTCATACGGAGAAAATGTAACCTTTGCTGGCAGGGTCATTTTTTTTATATAGCAGAAGGTTATTTAAATTTTTGTAATTACCTCTTTTTCTTTTTGTTTTTACTTCATACACCTAATTGCAATAACGTTGTCATAGAAAAAAGCAAAAAGCCAAATAGGAATTAATTAGCCATGTGATTTACATTTGCGTATTTTAATAATGTAACAATTATTTAAGAAGTCAGTCACAATAACAAGAAATAATTCTGTAATTCCGCGCTGTAAGATTCCGCAGATGAAACACTGATGTGTGTAACAAAAGGGTCCTGACAAACGAAGCTTAGTTTGTGGCGCGGGAGAGGGACTGGCTGAGGAACGCCTCACCCTCTCCGCGATGGAAAGTCCTGCGTACGCCCCTGATTTGTTGCTTGAAAATTGTGATCTGATGGTGTGGTGCACTACAAACCATACGCAGACTGGCTTTTCTATTTAGCACTAAACGACAAGACGCGTCGCGTTCCTGGAATTTACCCTAGGCTATATTTATTGAAAAAAAAATGGAGCCATTTTTTCTTTAGTAGTTATCCGATGTACGTTTGTAATTAGAGCACGTTTGAAATCCGCTAGATGAATCAGCCTCGAATTGCATTAGAATGACACCAAGAAACAGATGCAAATGATTTCTCTCATGTTACGTGATTAATATTCAGCTATAAGCGTGTGTGTTGGGAATGTTGCAAGCAATGATAATTAAATGCTAATTAACTCCTGTTTGGCTTTTTGCCTTTTGCTTTTTGCTTTTTGCTTTTTTCTATGACAACCTTATTGCAAATAGGTGTATCTCTTTTCGATGCGAAAGCGTTAAAGAGAAAGTAAGTAGAAGTAGAGGTGCATTAGTCTTTTCGATCGTGCGAAAGCGTTAGAGTATGTATAAAGCCGTAGTAAGCTGTAGTAGTAGAAGCAGTAGAAGCGTATGCCCGAACTTCAGAAGAAGCATATCAGGAACGAAGGCAGCAATGCAATACCACAATGCTCGACTTAAAAATTTATAGCGTTTTGGTTCTTGGCTAGACACAAAAAACGGCTTGACTAGCTTTCCAGGAGCGAATGGGTTAATGTATAGCGGTAGACTCTAAAGTAGGAGACTATTTTACTAAAACTCGATCGTTTACCGAAGTGCAGCAGTAATATAATTAAGCGCCTACATGCCCAAAACAGTCCAGAATTTAACTGCGATATTCATAGAAAATCCCTGTGGTGGACTACACGCTTTTTCTTTGAGAAAGGATGGGTCGTTTATGTTAAGTCATGTTAAGTTTGTCGAGAACTGTAGGCTTGGTCTTCGGTGTTTCCATGCTCCCGTGACTCTCCCCGGGTGACTCTCCCTCTAGGTTTGTACACGTACAGTTTCTGCAATGCCTACCTGTGGTGCGAAGTGCAGATGCTATTCAGCAAATTCACGATATCAATCATCCTCGGACACCCAGGGGCAGTTAGTCGAGCCGATAAAATGTTCGAGGTGAAAGTTTACCGTAAGATCGATCTTCCAGTAAACTTTCACCACGAACATTTTATCGACCCGACTAACTGCCCCTGGGTCTCCTAGGATGGATATCAACAATGTGCATTTTCAGCAAACTGGCAAACACAACAGAGGAGTACTAGACTGCAAAACAGACAATCGGCTTTTCTTCTTTCTTCAAAAACGGTTTTACAAGGCGCGAAGGGAGACCTTTCCTTTGACCTCTCGCTCGCGCGTTCTTCCTAGGAATGTTTTGCAGTCTAGAGACAGGGTTAGCGCTTGAGATCTCAGCATCTCGGCAAGCACGCTTGCCTGTCACCTTTGATAAGCATTTTGATTTTTTTACCAAACTGAGCCGGATACGTTGAAAAGGCTATGAAGAGGAAAAGGAAGTATTGCCGGTTCGCACGTACATGACGTCGCAGTGCCCATGCAAGGGGTCAAGAGCAAAAGGATCTCTCCTTGCTGAATTTAGTCTATTTCCATAAAAATTCTATGAATTATTGTATTTACCACCAACATGGCGCCTTCTCACGTGGTTGCAAACCAAGAATGGAAAGCTACCTTTTAGTGCGCAGAATCAAGAGCGTAACTCTAATCCTGGGACTACCAACTACCCAGGTGCATTATGGATATTTTTGAAGCGTGCAAGGCACCTGGGGCCCGTTTCTCGAAGCTCCCGGTAATTACCGGGCCCGTTAAGCTGTTTTGTTTTCCATTTTAGAAGGGAGTTTTAAAAGTTTTGAAAATTATACAGTAGAGTTATTAGCTAACGAAACAAAATGGACTTCATTAGAGGTCAGAACACACCCTACTTTTCTTGAGACTTTGATTTAAAAATATGATTCCGGGCCCGTTAAGTTACCGGGACTTTCGAGAAACGGGCCCCTGGGCCGTTTGCGTTAACCAGGAGCCCATAACCCGGAGCGTTCAACTGCCATAAATTCGTGCAACGGCGTTTCTACAAGTGAGTTTATTTTTAGATAAGCTTTTCCCGCGAAAAATAACTGTTCCACGGTGTCAATTCCTTGATTTGATCGTCGTTCAGACTGTTAGTAGCTCGCTTGGACCTTTTCACAGTCGGCTATTTCAAAGATGATTTCGATTTAATTCCCTTTGCGTGAATTATGTGTTGTCGCCGATGAAGTAGACGTCCTGGCTAGGTTTTGCAAATCTTGCTCTGAACTGCTAGTTTCCGTGTAAATACTGAAGTTGTCGCTTGAAGTACTGTCAGAAGACTCCTCTGAAGATTCCTCATGTGTGTCCGCCAGGTTTTTTTCAATGTGAAGGAGTTGTCCTAGTTGCGTATTAAAAGTTTATCAATGATGACGCAATTGCTAGTGATTGGTTTCTCGAAAGCAATTCGCGGGAAAGGCTTATCTAAAAATAGACCTACTTGTGAAAACGCCGTTGCATAGGCGCAGTATGGAAGTTAGACGCTCCGGGTTATGGGCTCTTAACACGTGACTTACTGTTTCCGCTTGGATAATCCTTGGGTAACTGAAGTCTAAGGGCCTGTTTACATGGGGACCCCAGAGGTGAGGTAATTAAGCCGCTTAGGTGGGGTTACCCAGCTGTCCATATAATGTCAGCCAAGCCCTAATATCAAAATTCAAATTCCCATTTGCTGTCCCTATGTTTCCTGTAAAAGTAGTAGCGTGAAGTTCTTGAAGTATGAACTCATTGTATCTTGTGTGATCATCTCGTTAATTCTCATCATCAATCTGTTCTATAAAGCATTGATATCACAAGGAGAATTTTGATACTGATCACTCTTAGGGCTTAAGGGTTAACACAGAATCACACCCAGCCTATAAGTGAAAGTAAAATCCACTGAAGTTGCGAACAATTCTAAAATTTTATTTTACTGATATGCATAATATTGTTTACAAGCTATCTGACGATTACTAAGACCCCAGGGTGAAAATATCAGGGATGAAATTAAGACTGTCGCAGAAAGGAAGACATTAGCAGAACCAAGTTGTTCAAAACCCGTTTAGCCTGGAAACAGATGTTATAAGGCTGTGTTCTAAAAAAGGAAACAGTCAATCGCGAAGGAGTGAGACAAGGCTTTTTCCTATCTCCTCCTAGCCTATTCCAGTTGGGAGAGGCGTGAATGAAAGAAAGGAAGTTAAAATAGAGTTATTGGGGGAGAGCTGACTGTAATAGGCTGAACTCCTCTTCGTCAAGAATGTCACGCCTTGCGGCTAATGTTACCATGGCAACTGGTAGTTAAAACACGAAATCTGGCTTCCAACAACTTTGCCCGGCATCTTATTGTTTTTGACTTTTTAACCAAACTATTCTCACTGACCTCAACTATAAATATGCGAAAAAGACTGGATAACATACTCGATGATGTCAGTCTAAAATGATTTAATGCATCGGAAGGGGAAAAACTGATACGCTGGAAAACGCATCATAATTATGTTTATGGTCACGCTTGAGAAATGAATCGAGTTCTTGGACAGGGTCAAAGGTTCAACTTCACATGGGACGAACCTAACACTAGTGAGTGAGAACGACATATTTTGCGCGATTTGGCATTTAGTTTTGTCACATGTAACCTTCGACGCTTGAACTTCGTCAGCGAGCAAGCTCTCCAATTACGGCAAGCCAGGCGAGACGAGGGATAACGCGCCTTGCACTCGCATATGGGTCTCGCGACTCCCCCAGATGGAGAGCATGCTCGCAGGCTACTTGAACCGGGCATTTGACGAAGATCCTCTCTCCTCCGCCGAGGCTCCCGCTGGGTATCCCAATACAAATAGCAATAATCGAAAAATAGAAAGCGCGCGGGTACGATGGGAAGAGGGAAAAGGCGGGAGCCTCTGCCATATAATGCATTCAAGATGGCGCCGGATTTCCGAGGAAGACTGGAACTAGGTTTCTTCCCCTTCCCATTGTCCCCCGCGCGCTTTTTTTCTTTTCCCCTCTATCCAGCCCTCCCTACGATACAAAGCGGCGGGGGAGAGAGACGAAGATCCACCTACAAACACTCTAATCAGGCACGCCAATATAGAACAATAAAACATTTGATTTCCCTGGACAAGAAGTTGTGGGACTGAACTTTTGCTAAATGGGAGAATTAATAATTTAATTTTCATAAATATGCAATGGATTCTAAGCAATAAAATAAAGTCCTAATTTATCACAAATGACACAAAATTTGGAAAAAAAATTAAAAATGCTAGTATCCTTCAAGACTCAAGAGACAACTACCAACTGCAATCGTTTGATTAACAAAAATTTAATTTTGCAAAATGTTGGATCCAATTATAAGATTCGATTTATAAGCTTTCAAGCTTTTATTTCTTCGTTGTTGTTGTTGTTGTTGTTTTTTAACATACCCATTTTTTTAAGCGTGAAACATTATTCAGGACACCTAGATTACTAAACGTTCACAACAAACCAGCGCTTTACTTAAGGAAAAACGCTGTCCAACATTTCCCCAATAATAAAAATTTCACGTCATTCCATACGATTCTCACAACTCAAAGGAGCTGTGCCAGGAGCTGTACCACGAAATTAATTTAAATTGAAAGAGTGGGAACCGCCACCAAATAAAATGAAACATAAGTCAGGGGGACCACCGACATAAAACATTAAAAATAGGTATAAATAACGAAGCAAATACAAAAGGCCGGAGGCACGAATGCAGACTTGAATTAAATCGAAATGGATTGCACTTGCTGTTTTGAAAACTTCAGTGCCAGCCTTACAGATTTTCAAAAAATTGTAACGTTTGAAATAATGCTAGGGAGGCATATTTCTTTGACACAGAGCTCTGATTTTGCCATAATACAAGTAATTTCTCAAGATCCATTGGGCCGGAATAAGGACGCGTAAGTACTAGGTATTGTAAAGAAAATTAGCCACAGCCGAGCCACGTGACACAGTCCCTTCAAGTTCAATATTAAAAGTGCAAATATTTGTTCTGACACATTTTTTGGTAAATTCTTTACAATTTTTGTCGCCACATCTTCTTAAAAGTGCAACCTTTGGTGCATGCACGCCTAGAATTATGGGACAACCACTCTATGCGAGGCCTGGAATCCAGGCCAGTTTGTGGGAGGTCACTTGAAGATAGAATCCTAAAAGAATTTCTTGGCTGCAGCCTCTTTTTGATTCTGGTAGGCGATGTAGCCAACAAGCATAATAACTTGAGATACAATTAAAACAACAAAGTAACCAGGACCTATACATTGCGGCATTGGAGGAGGAGGTGGGCAATCTTTCTTTTCCTGCCCTCCCATCTGAAAAGGAAAGAACAAAAAGAAAAATCAGTTCACGGGTGAGGTTTGGACGCTATGAAAACTTAATGCGATAGAGAACTGCATCACAAACAACTATGCAGAAGCTAAAACGGATGGCATGTACATAATTGATAAGGTGGGACTTCAAAAGTGTGATAAAACTGGAGTGAGAACGTGTGTTTCCAGTGAATTCAATGCTCGGACAAGAAAGCAAATTGAGTGGAAGCTCTAAGTAGATATCAGGAATGATTTCTTTCTTGCTTATTGAAAGATGGTCGTATTATCCGTGCGAGGCCTGGCCAAGAGAAGCGGGAGTTTTGTCCACTGACGTCAACTCGTAAGAAAAAATCCAGTGTTAAGGCAACCTTAAGTATAAGTATGAAGTGAACAATTTTTTCCTTACTAGTTGTTGAGTTGACATGTGGTTTACTGAGTGAGTCAGTGATTCAATCGCAGTCTGCACATCACTAAGCTTCGAGTTTACACCAGCAGAATCTCCAACATCTCTCCTTTCAATATTCCCTCCTTGATTTATAGAATTACTGTCAAATATAAAATGGACAAATTTCAGTATTAAATTGTCACAAAAGTAAAGGTTCCCATTTTGAAAAAAGCCTCTACACAGCTGCCTCCTGCTTCTGATGTTGGTTCCGCAGCGGAGCTGGCTAAAGGGAGTATACGCACGTTATATTTACAACCGTTTCACGAGCTTAGCCCCGAAAATTATTGAATGACCGTTGATGACCGTGATTGGTGCTTCCGCAACATCTCTCAATGGAATGGACTCCGCTGTTGATGTTTGCGGAGGTCGAGCTTCATGTTGAACAGCACAAAATTCAGAGGAATGGCCATTATTCAAACTTCTTGTGAACATTTTTTCCACGAACCATTAAAAGGGGCAGTGTTACCAAAATCAAATGCTCCATGAAAATACAACAAAATTTTGGGTATCCCTAGGCTATCGGACAACACTTCTGTCACGCTCTGCCAATATAAGTTCTGAATGAGAAGTGTTTTTGGTTTCAGCGCTTTTTATTTTTTTAAGTGACCTTGTTCGGGCGTTGCCGCTACGTCACCACTGATGAATTTGAAATTTGTACTTACCTAATCTCGTGTAATTTAGCAGTAAGTTGGTTCTGCATGTTTATTAGTGTGTTCACTTCCTGTCTGTTTATAGTTTGATCTTGTGTTACCACGTGGCTCAACTTGTTACGATCTGAGGTGACAAACGAGTATAGTGTGTTGATTTGTGTTGTAAGCTCCCCAACTTTGTTATGAAGGTTGCTGCAACAAAGTAAAGACAGGAATATCAGTGAGTTCGCCCCAAGTGAATTAGCCCCCTACAAGTTCACCCCCTACTTTCTAAGTTTACCATGGACTGGTATAACTCCAAATTATAGTTAAATCACACATTTATGCATTTATTTAAAGTATACCTGTGAATTGGCTTCTAATCGAAGTTAAACGGCAAAAATACAGAGAATTTCAGTTACATGGAAATAATTATGCTGTCTGTTGCATGGATTGGTGTGGGTGTTTATCAAATATTTTCTAGCGAATTTATTTAAAGTATACCTGTGAATTGGCTTCTAATCGAAGTTAAACGGCAAAAATACAGAGAATTTCAGTTACATGGAAATAATTATGCTGTCTGTTGCATGGATTTGTGTGGGTGTTTATCAAATATTAGCGAATTTTCTACAATCAGCCATCAATCATTCATGCCAGATTGGCATAAAGGATTTTAACAATTTCTAAAGATCCACTGTTAAGATGCTTTCTGTTTCACGGGCTGTCAGAAGTAGTCTAGCCCACGCCGCCTTTTTTTTTACGTGTGGGAGAATACTTTAAGGGAAGTTGATCAATGGCGATGTAAAATCAATTCTTGTTAACAATTTTGCCGCTAATTCACCGGCTACAGTCTCACTTTGACTCGGTCTTTGATTTTTGCTTGTTTGTTTATTTTTCCCCTATAGTGGAAGTATCCACTTTAATGCTCAATATTTTGGGACCTAACCTTACCAAGATTTTATGCTCATTTGTTATATCTCACCTTATCATCTGGTGAATTGCATTCTGTCCTTCATAAACCAGACGAACATCTCGTTCATAAACATTTTCATACTAAAACAAGAGCATAGACTGTGAACGTCATTCCTTCTCCCACTAGCTAAAAGGAACGAGCCTTATTCGCCACTTTAAAAAGAGGACACTAGAGCACACAGTTGTTTCTGGGATGGTTACTAAGAGCACGCCCGTCAGCTATTGGCCAATTTTTTCCCTGTCCCTAGTTTACAATCCCAGAAGCCTTTGCGAAAGTTAACTCGACCCAGTTTCTTTCTGGTTTGTAAAGTGGCCAATTGTATTGAACTGCACCCTGGGACTATTTCAAAGAGGCCCAAACTTTGACCCTGGGCGCTTTCCATTCAACAAAAATTCCGGTTTGAAATTTTGGAAATTCCACGTGCCCAATGGAACGGTACATTCCGATTGCACAGACCTGACCCAAGCCACCGCATGTTTGGTTATTGTTCTTGTAAGCAGAATACAAAAGGACAACAATTTTGTCAAATGAAAAGGGACATTTCATTTTTTTCCGACCAAAATGACCAGGCCAGTCAAAGTGGACTACCTTCAAAGGTGGTCCTAAATATTCCGGTCAGACCGAACCGAAATGGTCCACTCCATTTCATTTCTTACCGAAATTTCCGGAATTTTGAGCTAAATGGAAAGCGCCCACAGTTTCCCGCTCAACCTCAAAATGATCATTAGAGGAAGTAACAGCAAGATTGTTCCACAGTGTAATTCAATACAAAACCGTCCGAGTCAAATGTACAGCCTATAAAAATGTTTAATATATCATTCTTGCAATCTATCTCTCATATAAAAGAGGTTGCTAACTTCTTAGTAATGCATATCAAATCAAAATTGCGTTGCAAAGGTGACGACAGTAAGCTATGGTACTTCCTTACGTTCAAAAACTCAAATAACTTTACAGGATAATAAGGATAGAACACTGAGTCATACACAAAAATAAACCTTACAACAGTATTTATTCCCCGCACAAAACTGGCGGGTGAGTTTTTCGGCAAATATATTAGTCACCAATTGATAAGTGCAAGGAAATGAAACTGGATTGTCGCCCAAAAATTGCGAACAAATTTTGCTGATGTGGGCGGTGCATTATTTGCTTAAACGTGATTTATCTGGTTCAACGGATAGTACTTTCCGCTTCTTGAATGACCAGAAACTGTTTGGAAAAGTGGATTTTTTGAAGCCTCGATGTAATTTGAAAAGGTACAACTTTAATAATTCTATCCATGTTATGCTGGAATTTGTCTCCAAATTAAAGTTCTATTTTGCTCCACGTAATCTTTTTGTTTGTTGTTAAATTACCTGTGTTTCTGGTGCCTTTACTCTATCAGGATGGGCCGTTTTGTACCTGTAACAACATTTAACAATGATTTAACACTCAAAAATCGAAGATTAAGACATATACTTAAGGAAACAGAAAAATTTGCTGAGTATGTTGATGAATTTGACTCGAGCCGCCTGTGGATTCTTTATAGGACAAGGTCAGATGCAAATGATCACAAAGAATATGTTTCTTTTTACTAATTGTTCCCAGTCTGAATTGTGCCCTTAACCTTGAGAGTCCATTCTTTCTCATTGACATTCTTCCTTTGAGATAAACAAAATAGTGTTACAAATGAGTCACCATTTTGAATCATGCATGACATTATTTCGTCCCAAGGGACCGTGAAAATTGGCAGTTTTACCACTGTTTCTTTGTGCTTTATTGCAACAAAGCCACACCTTGCGGGTATTAGACATACCCAGAATCACTGAATTTAAGGCTACACAGCTGGTGCTAGTATCATATGAGAAAGCCATGGCACAACTCAGTATGGCATGTCACATGACAACCCCTAGATTGCCAAAAACATAAAGGTAAAAAAATTCTCTTCTAACTGATGCTCAACTGAGCGGGAAATAATGAATCCAAACAAAAAGCTATGAAGTCATGCAAAAGCGCAATGTTCGAACACTCCTCAGAGACATAAAACACTTAGTGTGTAAAGTAATAGTCATTGCTTGAGATAATGACCACTTATGGCCCCAATTTTTTTAAGCAGTGAGGACTGTATTCCAAGTTTACTTACTCTTCTCTCTGTTGCTCTAGTTTTTTCTGATATTCCTCGTACTGCTGAGTAAGCTTCTTCTGCTCTTCTTCACTCATACCGGTTTCACCCTGGAAAAATGAAAAAGGCAGATATTTAATTCAGATGCAACTTAACATCAATGCAGGAAGTTTATTAGTGTTAGACTTGGTTATGTACTAACTTTGCTAAAATAGTTTTCTTTTCTTTTAAAAGAGCATTTTCCTAGAGTACACGTTGCATACCGCAAGTTGTTGCCACCGGTCACACTTTTGTAGGCCAGTGCACAGCACCTACCTACCTATCTATCTATCACTGAGACATTATAAATACAACAGTGATTACCTCTCCCTCCTTCTTTGGTGGAGTGAGTGAGTGGGTTATAAAAGACACTACATCATGGTCATCTGCAAACAACACAACACATTCAACAATACTTAAGTTAGCACAACTTGACATGGGAAAATTACCATCCACTACTGTACAATAATTTAGGTTATTGCTGATTCAGCATTCTCCACAAGTAGTATATCCACTAGTAAATTAAATTCTTAAGTAAAGAGAGAAGGCAGAAAGGAGAGGGTATTGAGCAGAATTTCTGGGGAAACTCCAGCAACCAAGAAATGGTGCTCTCTAGTCATCGCAGAAGCCCCAGCTACTCACACAAGATATTTGTTTCTCATGGAGCTGAAAAAACTTGAATTCATGCCTCTGGGTAAGCAGCTAAAGTGGGTGCTTAATTGATGGGGTGCTTTTTAGTTTTCTTTCAATGAACTGTAATTGTATTTAAGCCAAATCTTTTTAAAACAGAAAAACAAAAGCAAACACTACAACATTATCCACGTAAACATACAGTCAATATTTGGGTGGTTGGTAATCAAGCATACCATAGTCCCATTATAAACTTTACACTAATGTATTGGTCTGTACATTTATAAAATATTGATTATCTCATCATCCTCAAAGTCACCCTCGTCAATGATTTGCAGATCATATCCCTACCTACTATCCTCTTACAAAGTATTTTTACTCTTTAAGAGGGTGATGGGGAGGTGAGAGGGGTGCTTATCAGAGCGGGACACTTGTTTGATATTATGGCCTAGAGGGTGGGTGCTCATTTGGGGAGGGCACTTATTAGAGCATAGGTGCTTATTCAAAGAAATACCGTATGCCCACGCACATTGCACTGCTTGAAAAGCACACTGTGCCTTTCAATCCAAGCTACTAAATTTTCTGAAGAACCATGATTAAGAGATCCTTCTCGACTGCATTTTCTGCGCTAGAAAAGTCACATTAAAATATCCCAGAAGTAGATGTCAAGTTTAGTGACCTGCTAATCCTCCTGTAGCTGCAGATAAACCAAAATAGCCTCCCAAACAAAGGGAAAGAATTTGCCAGATGTCTCACTTGTTGCTAGTGTTCTCAAGCAAACTTTGCCACTGCACAAAAAGAGCTCAAAGTCAAGTTTAGGACCTGCTAATCCTCCTGTATGCAGATAAACCAAAATATGCCTCATTTGCCAGATAAAAGTCAAAAAGTCTTCAGGCTTGGTAATGCCCATAAAAAAACAAAGCAAAGCAAATAAAAAAGACAACAATCACTGATGTGAACCTTGTCAAATGGCATAAATTAATAAATTATTAAATTATTTACATTTTTAAAATAAATTATAACCAATTCCCCCAGGCTAAGGGCTATTTAGACTGGTGTATGGTTTTGGAGTCTGATGAGAGATGGCATAAATTAATAAATTATTAAATTGTTTACATTTTTGAAATAAATTATAACCAATTCCTCAGTAACCAACCTGTGAATATCACTGCATATATCAGCTACAACTGTTATTCCTTGGTTTGTTTCATAATCCTTTGTTTTTGGATATGGTAATGGTTGATAAGGAGTTTAAAAGTAAAGTTTAAACCAATGATAAAGTTTACCACAACATTTAAAAAACACACTAACACTAACCGTTAGAACTTTTTCATAATAGCGAATTTTCAGTCTAACTGGATTGGGACGATTACGGAAATCTCTTAAACAGCCACCAAGCTGAAGATCTTGTCCATCCCTAAAACGCAAGAATTGTACTATATTAATGCTCGAGTAATGTGTTACTTCTCAGCTAACTTTGTCAACTAGGACATTCATTATTTTATTCATATTGATGCATATATATTATACTAATTAATTTTTTCAGCTTTGCCAAAAGTCGTAGAAAGATCATGAGGTTTCCAATGTATTGAAATAATCCCAACATCACTAAATCTTTCCCTCCAGAGAAACCACAAGTCTTTTCTCTTTGCTTTTTTGTGCCATTCCCCTTTATTTACTACTGCTAGTTCTTTCCCCCAAGCCTTACAAGGACCTGCCTGACAGGCATTTCTCGTCTATTTTAGTTTTCACAGGACTCTACATACTGTTGGAAATAAAGAATATACGGAAGCAGGAATGTGACCAAAAAAAAGGAGAGAGATATCTCTTACGAGTACTATCTCATGATCTGAAATGAGGCAACAGAACAATAAAGACATTACGGTCTACTCAGTCAACCACCCTACCACTCCTACATGCAGACTGGTGAGACGTTTTTGCTCTAGATAAAATCATTTGGCATTACCAGCCGAATGAAACCTCTTTAGCATACCTTAAGCATTGCACCATTTATTTCTTACGATTTTGCAAGAAGAAATAATTAGATTTTTTGGTGACTTTTCAGTTTAAGCATAATTAGCAATAAAATTGTTGACAGCAACTACGAGCAATGAGAAAAAAGGTTAATACCAACTTATTACTTTGAACATACTTATTGTGGTCATAAATTTTAGTTCCATCATTCATCATTACAGAAATGAAAGGGTTGTTTCCCTGGAAAATAACAATAATATTTTTATTGTTACAATATCAACAACACAACAAAAAAGCAAAAAAAGACAAACTTAATATCTGTCTATCATTAATCGACAAATCAGGGATAGTTTAATATAAAAGAGCTGGCTGCCAGCAAAATTTGCCAGTTACTTCACCATACCTGTTGATCATTATCAAATGAGTCGCAAAAAATACCAAGACCCTTCCATGTGTTTACATTTCCAAATGCAGGGCCTTCAATACCAGCTGTTTCTGTGTACCACATGGCCTGAAAAAAAAAGAAAGAAAGAAAATAAAGAATGTCCAATGAATGCATTAATTTAAAGGATAAAACGTCATAGAACAATTGAAATTTGAGACAGACACCATTGGAAAAGGTCATAACTGTTTGTCTCAGAGTGGTGCCCCCCCTACGGAGAGTCAAACAATATAATCAAAAAACAGCAGGGACCACTTAAATCTGTCTGTTTGAGGAGCTGTTCACCTTTTAAGGGCGTCTTTTAAGACATAGTTGACGGTACTAACAAAATTGTTTCATATGAAATACTTAAAATAATTTATGATACATTTCCATGAAAAGGGACACGTGAAAGGTCTATAGTGCTTCGAGAAGGAGAGGGGTTTCAGGAAGAGTGAATGGAACACCAGTTAAGACAAGAGGGCAAATTCAAGTGGTACGGTAAAACAATGTTTCAGTCTACTCAAGGTCATTTTTTTCATACAAATCACAGATGTCTTTTGTCAACTCAAGCCCTGAGTCAGTGCCTTTGTTCACAAGAATGTGGGATGTGGCATTACACCTAGCAACTAGATATATAGCTGTTGGTTATTAGTGCCTTTTGGCTGTTACTACAGATAGCAATGACTGAAAGA